TTTTCATCAACCAGAGATGGTCTGGATGGTATGTGTTCATTATCTACTGATAGCATTTGACCATCTAATTCACTAATGAAAACACGTTTTATGAATTCATCGGTTTAGCTAGTATTTATGTTTGTATTTGTATTCATGATGGTCGTTTGTATGGATTTCTCTATTTTGCTAATTTTAACAACTTAATATTGATAGCTAGCTGGCAACAATCATTGATAATTGTGAATATGAACTGAGATTAGTTCGTATCTTGTTGACACTGACATATTTCTCTTGCTGACGATGATCCACGTAAGGCCGTTGAAACCATTAAACCATTATAATATAATACTAATAACCAGTATAATACTAACGGCTGTGTAAAGAGAGGTTTCTATTTGTGGTGCTAAGGGTGTTGGATTACATTGTTTTAGATTTATTTTGTTAAGTATTTTCTGAGAAAATGCATTTTTTAACGTTGCTGAAATAATGGAATTTTGTGTTTTATTGGACAGTGATAATAAACTGTATTTGAGAACACATATCTCTTTATGTTAACATTGCTATTTATTAGATTTGAGGATTGAGTTTATGAGTTCTGCATATTAAATTAAAAATCACATTAAATCACGAGAGACATTGTGAGATGCATACTATTTTAAGCAAGCCTTTATGTTAAATATTATTCATGATGCTATTTCCTTCACATCGTTCTACCAAAAAAGCCCAGTGGGCCACTGAAGTATTTAGTGGAACAAATCTTCCAGCATGTTTTAGAAACTACTGAGCCCAATGTGTCCTGCTGTGTTAGGTTTGTAAATGGAGGAGACCAGTGTGCATCGTGCCAGGGGCGTGGCTTAACCTCAAACCCAGAAGGTGTGACCAAACATACAAATCAAATCCAGTAGTTGATCATTTCTTATGATTACCAGTAGGCCTACACATTCATTTTTATCTACACTGCTTTTTTCATTTTTGTTGCACCAAACCCAGTTCTTTTAAGCAAACATGTAAAGAACAGATACAATTAATATTCCCCCCTAAAGAGTTCAATACCACTATATTATGGTACAATTCAAAACTGAAATATCCCCAGCCCACATCAAATGAGAAAATAAGCAAATAAAGATTATTTTTATTAAACATATATTGTATTATTATTGATTATTTCTCTGACGAACTTTAATGTGTTATGTTTCCTCCTTTTATGGGAATACAGGCCATGGTGATTCACTTGCTTTCTTCCTGTATCTCTTTATGTGTTCCTGTATCTCTTTATGTGTGGATTTAACGATTCAAGATTTTTATTTGTGACATGCATGAATGTACTGGTCAGCAGGAGTGAAATTAAATTTTCTCTACTTCAGACTGTGTTACAAACAAGGCAGTAGGATAACAAAATAAAAATATGTTAAATATAAGTACTAATAATATCCAAATATATGAGTATATAAAAAAGTAAAGATGAAACAGTTATAAGAAAATATTTGAGAAAATATTTAAAGTGTGGGCTTTACTCATTTGACTTAAACTGTGTTCAATTACCGTTAATTATTTGTAGTTTATTACATTACAAATATCACAAAGTTGTTTTTGTTAGCTCATATTAAAGCTATATCTGATTACACTGTGGCTTGTATAGGGGGTTTTCATTTTGCACGGCTCAGTTTTACTGATTTATTCAATTTTACTTGACACCCACAGAACCATGGCTGACTAATTCTCAGTGTTTTGGCAACTTAGAGCAGCAAATCAGATAATTTACTTCATGCGCTGACAATCTGAATAATCTGCATGAAATTATTTGTGTGTCATATTTTTTTTAATTATTTGTTCATTAAAATGATGACGGGCCGACAGGAGAAAAATATGGGGTCTTAGTGTAATTTTCATAGTTAGAAATTCCATCGTACAATGTTAGGAGATCAAATTCAGAAGGTATGCAGTCTACAAGGTACAGGTAGGACTCATATCATCTCTTTAATCTGTCAGCATTGTGTGTAATGATCTAGTGCTGGTTCTTTAGCAAAATAAACCATGTGTATATAATGATCTGTGTTTTTATATATATATATATATATATATATATATATATATATATATATATATGTGTGTGTCTGCATTTTCTCGCTGGTCTAATGTCACATTAGTGTATATGAGTGAAACAGCATCTTTCTTGCAATTCTGCTGTCCTTCAAAGCAAATCAACATTAGGGATTCTCTCAGCACTTGAAACTGGCTGGTTATGAATAGTAACAACAAATTAAAAATAGTAACAACGTCTTTATCGAAAGCAGGGTCACCGTAAGCCTATCCCAGTAAGTACGGGGCACGAGGCACTGGGCACCCTGCATGGGATACCAGTCCACCACCTGTCACATGCACACTTGACTTCAGTGGGTAGCAGCGCTGCATGACTTTCTCCTGCATTGGGGGTGTGATTTGCAGCACTGCTCTGTGTGTGTGTGAGTTTGCATGTTCTAATCGTGTTGTGTGGATTTTATCCCAAAGATGTGCAGGTTGGATAGCTGGAGCTCATAAATTGCCCATAGTGTATGATTGTGTGCGTGAATGAGCAGAAGATGGATGGAATTATTTATTTAGTGGACACCTTTCTCCAAAGCAACATACAATTTGGTCGGATAATATACCACAAATAGACACTAATTCATTTAACCTTATGTTTTTAGACCCTGTGAGGAAATCCAGGCGAGCCCAGGCAGATAACACATACAAATGAGCCAAGACACAGACTCACAGCCGTAAATGTGTGAGGTCACTTGGGTATTTTTTAGGATTCAACTTTCATCCTATTTATGTTTAACATTTTTATAGGTACCACGATATTCTTCCATGGGCGTCGCCCCCATTAAATCTGAGCGGGATGTGTCCTCCCCACATTTCATAATTATTCGTTTGGAACCCCCCCCACATTTAACATAGAATATTAGTTTTATGTCAGTGTGTCCCCACCACATTCAAAATGCTTCTGACGCCCCTGTATTTTTTCTATTGCCTAGAGCAGAAAATAGATAAATAGAAATCACAAAAAGATATTATACAGCTGGAACAATTTTCAGTTATAATTATGTTAAGTTTGAATAAAAGTTACAATATAATATAAATATGTTGCAGCAGAATGATTTCCAGGACAACATAAGCCCAATCTAATATGAAGAATATCATAAAATACAATTACAAAAATAACCAGGGTATAACACATGTTGGTCAAACCAGCAGACTGATGATCATTTAGAAAGGTCAACCTTAATATCACTTTTTATTTTCCATAAAATTTGTTAAAATCTCATGGATCACAATCTTATCAATATTTTTTTAACTACTATATCTGTCGCGATGGTGGGGCATGGTGTGGGCGTAAAGAAGGCGACGATGCGCTGCCGGCTCTAAGAGACAAGGAGTTTATTAAAGGAACTGAACACCGGGGAAGGAACAAAATAACAGCGACTATGAGGGGTCAAAAGCAAATGGAAAAGGCAAGAAATAACTACAAGTAACACAGATGGGAAGCAGGGAACAGAACTAGGAGGACCGGCAAAGAAACACACAGCAGCCACACACAGTAACATTAGCAGAATGACTCACTAAGGAATAGAACACAGGCGAGCACTTAATTACACTCCGGTATTTTAAATACTCTCAGATAACAGGCTAACAAAAGGCAGGTGAACTATAACAGAATCAACCAAACAAATGGGACACAGGTTAACAACAAACAGGTGGAATCAACAACGCTAATGAACAGAGGAACTGGGAAACAGCACTAGGAGAAAATCAAGCCAGCCTCAAACCCACACCCACCAAAGGGGAGTGGGGAATAGTGGCCGACAGCTTGGCCGGTTAAGCCACACAGTGGCCTGGGGGAGCAGGTATACATTCTAGGGACTACACAATAGAAGACAGAACAGGATGGTCGGTGACACCTGCTGGCCAAATGGGGACAAGACACAGAACAGGGACGGACTTTATATATATATATCCCAGACCTTGACAAACACCCTTTTACTAGTCAACATTATTCACTTCACAGGTTGCTCATAATGCTTTGGGTCATTGGTGTGTGTATAGGTTTTGAGTCACTGCCATGGTTCCCTGTGTGTGAGGTTTACATGCTGAGGTGAACTGGAATTGCCAAATTGTCCGTAGGTGTGAATGTGTGCGTGAAGGGTGTGTGAGTGGCCCTGTAAAGGGTTGGTGCCCCATCCTGAGTTATTCCCTGCCTTGCAATTGCTCAACGACTGCTCCAGGGACAGACTGACCCTGCTTTTTGAATTGTACATTGCATTGGGTAAAGTGTCGCCTAAATAAATGCTTATGCAGAAGAAGGCAGACCACCCATTTACACCCAGATGGGTTCGGCCATGAGTTGATTTTATAGAATGGGGAGGAGAAAGACCCAGATAGGATCTTGATAGTAATGTCTGACTGAGGCTTCTAAACATGTAGTATTGGGCTCTCTGCCACTCGCATGCCACTCACTTTGTATAAATGTTGTTGTTATGCTGGACCACTTCGCACTATGTCGAGAGTAGGCTTCTGGCCTCCAGCCTGAGATATATATTGCTTTCTTATCGATTTTTAAGCTATTAGCAAAACTTGTAAAGAAATAACTGGAATCAACAATTGATTTGCCTTTTTATAATGAATACACAATTCTGTTTCAAATTCTCATGTGTAAATTCATGCAGTCTATATTTATTTGAACAGAGGGTTAAGATTAAACTTCTTCACAGGCCAACCTAAAACTATGCTTGGGCGTGTAATTCCTAAGCATAATTTTTTGTTAATTTTAATGTTCTTCATATATGTACAAATTTGACTGGCCCCATTTCACTGTCTGTGGGTCATGAATTAAAATGATTGTATAGTTTGCTATTGTTAAATAAAACTCCTACTTCAAACATATTACAACCAGAATTCTGCTTCTAACAGACTGAAAAAAATACACATATTGCATAGTGCATTGTTCTATGTAGTAACTGTCTGTTTTCTTCTTGCAGTTACTTTTGACCATTTCCAAATACTCCGAGCCATTGGGAAAGGGAGCTTCGGCAAGGTAATTACTATCATATTCTTTTGATCGCACTCCATTCAAAGATAGTAGCAAAGCATAACCTGTTGGCTGAGAGTAATTTTAGAATCTTAAATGCAATGCATCACCACCATTACTGGAGAACCATGTGGGTAATTAGATGGCACTAACTTGGCATGCACTCATTATTTTAAATATGGATGTAAAGTAGCTTCCTAAAATGGGTCTTAAATAATCACATTGTTATTTAGATTAATTTTAACTACTGTTGCCATGGAAGTCAATTAATTTAATCACAGTTACATTTTTTTTTTACATCAGTCAGGATCTCAAAAAATTTAAACACTCAGTGTGGAAGTGTCTCACATAAAGCTATAACTATATTAATAGGAAAATCTTATTGAACACCTGGGAAATATATTTTATAAAATGATTTTATGAATTCCCCGCTTAGGGACCTGGCCCCGGATAAGAAGAGGAGAATGAATGAATGAATGTTATGAATTCAATCTTATAGTAAGACAGTTCAGTTAGAAATATAGGAAGGTTGGGTTGATTAAGTTCTACTTTGGTATTTAAGTGTTTTAACTAATAAAATACAGATTTGAGAGAGCTGTTAATGATATTTTGTGTGCTTGTATGTATTGTGTGTATTTGTCCTGCGAACCACTGGAATCCCATTCAGGTTGAATCCCGGCCTTGTGCGGCATAATGCCTGAGATAGGTAGGTTAGATCATTAAGACTATCCTATTCTTTGAGTTTGCAGTCTACATGTTACGGCTCTCTAAATTGACGAATGACAATAGTGAGAGTGCCCTGTGATTGTCTGGCATCTCATTTAGGGTGTTCCCCTTTTTTGTGCCTGAAGTTGTCTGGGATTGGCTCCAGGACCCCCTTCTCCATGAACCCTTACTGGATAAATTTTAGAAAATCTAATAGATTTGAAGATATTTGTTGCAGAAATAGCAGAGTATACTTAGTAGAATGTTTATGAAGGCAGCTACAATGGTAAGTCATATTAGTTTAAATGCCAATTAGCAACATGTATCAACTATACTATATGGACACAAGTATTCGGACACCTGGGCATTACACCTACAGGAACTTTTATGACATTCCATTCTAAATCCATAGGCATCAATATGGAACTGGTCTCACCTTTGCAGCTATAACAGCTGCCACTCTTCTGGGAAGGCTTTCCACAAGGAAATTTTTGCCCATTCATCCAGAAGAGCATTTGTGAGGTCAGGCACTTATGATGGACGTGAAGGCCTGGATCGCATTCTCTGTTTCAGTTCATCCCAAAGGTGTTTGAAGGGGTTGAGGTCAGGGATCTAGACCAGTCAAGTTCTCCCACTCAACCCAACCATGTCTTTATGGACCTTGCTTTGTGCACTGGGGCTCAGTCATGCTGGAACAGGAAAGGCCCTTCCTCAAAGTTGGGAATATAGAATTGTTCAGAATATCTTAGTATGTTGAAGCATTAAGAGTTCCCTTCACTGGAACTAAGGGGCCTAACCCAACCCCTCAACAAACAATCCCATACCATTATCCCTCCTCCACCAAACTTTACAGTTTGTATAATACAGTCAGGCAGGTAAAGTTCTCCTGGGATCTGCCAAATCCAGACTCATCCATCAGACTGCCAGACAGAGAAGCGTGATTCCTCACTCCACAAAACACATTTCCTCTGCTCCAGAGTCCAGTGATAGTGTGCTTTACACCACTCCATCCAATACTTGGCATTGTGCTTGGTGATGTGAGGCTTGCATGCAGCTGCTCAGCCATGGAAGCCCACTCCATGAAGCTCCTGGCTCACAGTTTTTGTGCTGGGGTTAATGCCAGAGGAAGTTTGGAACTCTGCAGCTATTGAGTCAACAAAGCATTGGTGACTTTTACACTCTGTGTCCCTCAGTTTCACTTTATGTGGTCTGTCACTTTGTGGCTGAGTTCCTGTTGTTCCTAAATGCTTCCACTTTGCAATAACACCACTTACAGTTGACCATGGAATATCTAGCAGGGAAGAAATTTCACAAACTGACTGGCATCTTATGAGAGTACCTGGCTTGCATTCACTAAGCACATCAGAACAACCCATTTTTTCACACATTTGTAAACCTGACTGCATGGCTAAGTGCTTGATTTTATACACCTGTGGTAATGGCTCTGAATGAAACCATATTCCTTCACCTATGACTACTGACTATTTTGTGTTGGGTGGGGGCCACCCCTATGCATGGCCCTGTTTCTCATATGCAACGATGACAATGCTCAATTTAAAAACACCAGATGAAGTCAAATGTGTTCCATGGACTCCTCAGTCACCAGATCTATAAATTATTGAACCTTAAAGGGAAGTTTTATACTGTTGAGTACCAAGTAGTTTTTTCATTCATTCCCCAAAGAAGTAAAAACCTTTCTTCTTAAAAACAGGACCAATACAAACAGTTCAATACACCGATACGGTAGCATTCTGAGAAGGAGGCAAGGTGTTTTGAAAGCAAAGCACATACACAACAAGCAGTCTGGAGATATCAATTACCCTAGCTCAACGTTATTCAAATCACGATCCTCAAGGTCTGAGCACTGCTGATTCCAGTCTTCCTTTACTTGTGAGACAGGTGTGAATCCTCTGTGGCCAATCAGAATCAGTAATTATTAAACCTAGTACATGGGAGAACTGAAATAATGCCAAGATTTCGAATTGAGGTCCAGATTTGAAGAGCCCTGGCGTCTGGAAACCCAAATGATATGGCGGGAACAAGCAAGCTATGGTCAGGATAGAGGAGAAGGTGAACAGCTCCAAGTAAAAGCTATTTTGTTGCAACACCTGCTACCCATCGCTGAATTTTGACACATCTGTAATATGAAGTACAAAGACTTACAACAAAAGAATGGCTTAAACATTTGTAGACAATAGTCCTGTAATCTTATTTAACAAATGACCTAAAGAGGAGATCCCCTAAAAATTTGTGTTCTAAAAAATATTTGTTAAACCGAGTGCGCTCTTATGTGCTCAATAATTAAAATAATGTTAATTTCTCCTAAAACGCATTAAGGGTAGTGTGTTTTTATGTCCTGCGTACACAGAAAGCAAGCATTTTTGCAGAACTTACATCAAAAACTGTATGCATGTATTCAGTTTTCTCCAAAAGCAATCTATCATTATAGTTACAATGTGGAATGTAGTAATGGTTTACACAGGGGCTGTGAATCAGATTAACAGGTCACTGCAATTACTGTGTCCCACACACCGAAATTATGACCAACATATATTCATAACCTGAATAATGCAACGCCCTGTGAGGAGCTGGCACCCAGTCCTGGATTATTACCTGCCCTGTGCCCATAGCTTCTGGGATAGGCTCCGGAACCCCCGACCCTGAATGGGACAAGCGGGTATAGAAAGTGGCTGGATGAACAGTACAGCTTTTGATGATCATGATTAAATTTAATATGCATCATTTGGTACTATAAAGAATCGCTGAGCTAGTCCTTTATTTTGCAGGAAATTAACAAAGCTGTATTTCTTCCACCTGTAGGTGTGCATCGTACAGAAGAGAGACACAGAGAAGATGTACGCCATGAAGTATATGAACAAACAGCAGTGCATAGAGAGAGACGAGGTCCGAAACGTCTTTAGAGAGCTAGAGATCCTACAGGAAATTGAACATGTTTTTTTAGTAAACCTCTGGTGACTATCCTGTGTTTTTCACCTCTTCTTTTTTGTGTTTTGCATGTTGTGCCTCTAGTTTATTCAAATGAAAGTGTCAACAGAATTGAAGGCATTCTTTGGTAAATTATTCTAAGGCCAGTTCTATTTTCTGAGGGCCACGGTGCATGTAAGCTTTTATGGCAGCATACTTTATTCAATTTATACTTTGTACAATTGCATTTTTCAAACGATTTTTTTTTAATGTTCTGGTAAAAGTTGTTAAAAAAGTACATCTTGAAAAGTAAAAAAGTATATATTTTAAGTGAAACTGAATTTGCTGATAAATTAGTATCCAATAATAAGCATTTGTTGAAACAGCAGTGTACATTTCTGTGGCCTGCTGGACTGAGTTCAGAAATTCTGCAGAAGTTATATGGCTAGACATTTATAATGTTCTTATGATAGCGCTTAATTATGAAATATCTGTATTTTAACATATAAAGGGATTATATATCTATATATTATATACTTAGCTTGGTTTGTGCAACATCTACTTGTTTTGGAAGTATTTGTAAAAATATGTACAAGTTTTGAGACATTCTTATATATTTAAGAAAAACCTATATACTTATATGAAAACCTATAAACATATATGAAAATATAAAATTTAGTATAAATTTACTTTTGTTTAGGTATTTATTGGTCTCAACCCCATTTATTCCATAAGCCATGTTAATTATTATTTTACTATTTACAATTGTGCATAATATAAGGGATCATGTCTATTATATTAGAATGTTATAGCAGTAAGGGGTGAATGTAACTTATAAACCACTCAGGAAAGCATTCTTAGGTAAATCATTCAAAATGAATTTTCATACGATTTTCTCATAATGTGCCCAAAACAAGATTTAAGCATTCATCTGGTGATTGTGGTTCAAATGAAAATTCAGGCTTGAGTTAATCACCACTTCTTTGTTTTCTTTGGCTGTCAATGGTATTCTTGAAATTCTTTGCCAGCACTAAAGCTCAAACGCATCAATACTCTTCCTGTCCTTCTTCGCAGTCCAATTTACACAGGAAATACCATATTCTGTACAACTGTAGTCTTAGTGATATGTCAGTACTTTCAAAGATTTTTTTCTAGGTACTTCATCACAGCTCTGCCAAGTGCCACTTTATGATGTATTTCCTGATTGCTCGATCATTTGTTACTGATGATTATTCCCAAATGGCAAAAGCTGTCTTCCTCATCAATAACACTGCCACAAATACAAACAATGTATAACAACAAACACCAATCATCATGAAAATAATCATTCTGTAATTTCGACGAGCCAAATGCAAGACCATCCCTTCAGACCTAATAAGACTTTACCAAAAGAGTTTTTCAAAAAATGTTCTAGTATTCAGAGAGCAGTTTTTATATAAGAAACCTTTCAAAATGATCATTGAGAGAATGCAGCCATGGCACAGAGGACCGTAGCCGTGAGCCCGTTGTTCAAGAATGGGCCAGAGGACTGGAGTTTTGGAATTTTGTGATCACACTGCTAGTTAAGTAGCCAGTCTTAGAGGCTTATGTAGGCCACACTAAATTCAGGTTATTTTATGCTTCCTGAAATAATGTTTCATTCTGACCTGATTATGTCAGTGAGTTTTCAGCCACTTTCCACTTCATCACCCTCTATGTCCAAACTCACCATGCACCTGGCTTCTCAGAAAATCTTCTGGTGGGCCTGAACTTTACCCATATCAATGTCAGTGGTGCTTTATATCCACAAATGAGGTTTGTGGATCCATTTACTCAGAGATCCATTTACTATTATTTAATTATAAGCAGTTTAGGCATATATAAGGAAAGTTTTGTGGTTGAAATGTGTGAATGTTCTGAATTCCAAAACCTATTGGACCAGGCTGGAGAATACTAGCCTGTCACTCTGTCTTTCTATTAGATTATTGCAGTGAATTCTGAGGGTTACCATACAGTCTTTCTCCACAGGTGTGACCTCTTGGGGAATCGGCGAGGTTTTAGCAAAACAATCAATCTAATACTATTAGATTAGCAGACACTCTCTGGTTGTCTAGATGTCATTGTATTGTCACAGTCTGGCCTGCAAGTTGCCTTTCACAGATAGGTAGCAAGCTTTGACAAACAGAAGAATAAAATACATTTTCAGTAAACATACTGATGGGAAAGGGAGAGGTAATGTGGTGAATATGCTGCTATTATTAAGCTGAAGCCTGGCCTGCTAATGTCATGCTTAAAACATTTAGCATTTTATTAAAACAAATAAATTAACAAATAAATGAATGTTTGTTTTACATGCTAGCACATACTGATATTTGAAATTTTAAGTGACTGTATCAGCTGTGAGTGAGACTTGTTGTTTGGATGGCTGAAGGTCCAGAAAGTCATTCACAGTGTAGTGAATTCTAACTTTTGTTTTTTGACTGCTCTCTTTTCTCCTAGGTATTCCTTCCAAGATGAAGAAGATATGTTTATGGTGGTGGACTTACTTTTGGGTGGAGATCTGCGCTACCATCTAAGGCAAAACGTTCAGTTCACAGAGGAAGCAGTGAAGCTCTACCTTTGTGAGATGAGTCTGGCACTTGACTACCTGCAGACTCAGAATATTATCCACAGGTACAAAGACTCATTTACACTGGCCCATTGAGGTGCTATTAAAGTCATATATAAAATTACCTGAAATGATGCTTTACAAAAAAACAAATGAACAAACAAACAACAAGACCAATAATAACAACAGCAACAACAACAATAATAAAGTGTTACAATAAAGATAAATACATAATTTATTCATCCATTTTCCATTTGGCTTATATAGTAGAGGCTATCCCAGCCAGTAAAGGGCTCAATGCCAGGGGACAGCCTAAATGGGATGCTGGATCATTGCAAACCACACAGGAAAGGAAATCACTTTTGAATTGCAGAAGCAAACCTACACCATATTATTAGAAGATTCAAACTTTCCATTCATGCTCCCTAGTCATCCAACAAAATATCAGTATATATATAGTAACTCTCTACAAAATAGCTTTAAACATTCTTTGACAGCCTTTTGCACAATACTCCAGATCTGCATTTCTATGGGTAAAAGTGCTATTTAAAAACTTGACCTCCTCTTACTCCTCTTACTAACAGCCCAATCTCATACTTACTGCTTTTCCAACTGGGAGTTATACTCTGCAGACAGTACTTACACTTGACACTGGCTTTCAGAACTCAATCTCCCAGTTGCAGGAATTAAATGCCATTTGCTACTTGCACCAGTGGCTCCAGTTAAGCAATAAATGTTGACTTAAGGACGTGTACTCAAAAACCAAAAGTGATAAAGTCAAACTATTTGAATAGCAGTTAAAATTTTCTAGTTGTAACAATTTACCATGCTATTTTCCGCCCCCTTTAAGGGATGTTAAACCAGACAACATCCTACTGGATGAACAAGGTGAGGAATCATTTTCCTTCTCTCCAGAAATGTATTGTTTTCTACATGCAATGTGTTAACAAGCATATGTGTACATTTCACACCTCGCATACCCCCCCATAACAGAATAATGAATGTAGAAATCCTATTTCCTAATCATTGTTTATCTGTGTTGTTACCTGTTTCTATATATAAGTCCCTAATGTAGTTATGTTGGCTGCCATGCCATGTTGTGTTACCTCTTCCCAAGCTGCAGCCTGAGCCTTTAGTTAATGGGGTTTTCTGTGTATGACTTAGGCCTGCCTTCTCTGTAATACTTAATTGGATTACCCTTCTCCACATATTTGTGCCTGATCAACCTTAGCATTGAATTTGTGTTTTTGCAGTAATGGCAATAAACACCTGTATTGCTGTATGTTCTGTTGGTGTGGTAAACAAATACATTCAGGGACTATGAACTCTAAAACAGAAGGAAGAGATCCAATACAGTATATGGAATGTACATCAGGCAAGAAACAGCAAGTTGCTTATTCTCATCCCTGACTGAGATTCTGTTTCTATCTGCTACAGATAATATATAATACAGCAGCATTGCACAGCCCAAATGGCATCACATGGAACTGCCACTATACTTTAAAGCTAATGGGACTAAAATTCAAGGGCACAGTGTTCTATTTAATGCAGCTTTCTGTATCTCTCCATCTGCTATATGGGCAAATTACTGTAAAATGTTCTAAGCTGTCAGATGCTATTTTCTATAGTACTATATTCACTTTAAAAACTTTAAAATACACCATATCATAGGTTCCTGCATCATTCTTTCCCTTCTGTGGAATTCTACCTCTAATTCCTACCCAACTGATTCCACTGATTTGGAGTGATATAAATGTAGCTGCAACAAATGTAAAATACGCCTTATCTGGTATTTGGATAAGCACAATAGTGAGTTAGTTTTTCTTTTACAGATATTTGTTTTGTGAAATTTTTAAAGTTATTTGTTTTCATAAAAAAAAAAAAGAAAAAGTCAAATAGCTAGTGTTCCTGCTAACTCCGAGCGCGGTGGGTGTTTGTGCTCTGCAGGCTTGTGCTGACGTGACAGGAGGACAATAGGACAGTGAAGGAGAGAGAGCACAGACTGCACAGGAGCAGCCCAGTCTGATCAAAATATAGGCAAAACTTAGTACACTGCAATGCAAAGGGAAAAAAAAACTTTATTTTAGAGCTGAAAAATCCTGACTGAACATAGCAGATGTAAGCTTAGCTTATGCATATCTTATCATACCAATTATACTTGATAACGATAATAAACATATATTTTGTGCATTTATTATTTACTTTTCTGTATCTGTATTTTTAATGTATCTTCTCTCTCTTATATAAAGAATCTTGCATTTTAAGAGAGTACAGGTAAAGTACAGGTGCAAAATACCGTATAGATATGTATAGGTTTGAGTGTGGATTCATAACTAAATGTTATGTTTGAAATTATTTCATTTTCGATGATGGTTATGATTTCACATGTTTATTATAATCATTTTGATGTTTTGGTTTTCATAAAACCAGCAATACTTAATTGGCAAGCACATATATTAACACTTTAATATCAAAAAATATATATATATGCATTCTTGTGATCTCTTTTTTTACAGGGCATGCTCATCTTACAGACTTCAATGTTGCAACAATTATAAAGGATGGGGAGAGGGCCACTGCCATGGCTGGAACCAAGCCTTATATGGGTAACATGCCACTATGGGGGGGGGGGGCACTTATTGTACTGTTATAAAGAGTGAAGAATATACTGTAGTAAATGAATACAGGATTATGCCCTATATTCTTACAATAACCGTCAAACATTTTATAATTCTGTTATGCAAAGTCAGGGCTTATATGAGAAACACTTTTCAGATTTAAGTGCTCGGTCCTGTGTCAGGTCTCAGGTCTCCAGGGAAATTGATTACTTTTATTTACGAAGGGAATTATGTTGCTTTTATGTATTTATGCATTGTGAATTTAGCTCTATTTATCATTTCAATGCAAATTAGATATTCTAATCCAGTTTCTTCAATAAGCTGAAATTGTATGAGAATGCAAACTGCTTCTTCTGATTTCGATTTACTTTTATCTTAATGCTCATTTTAATTTTCCTAAACAGCCCCAGAAATATTCCAGTCCTTTATGACAGGGGGAGCTGGCTATGCCTTTCAGGTGGATTGGTGGTCACTAGGAGTCACTGTTTTTGAAATCTTCAGGGGATGGGTAAGCATTTGTATCAGTTGTATATAGCGACTTTCACAACACATTTGCCCCAAGGCACATAACAAGACTGTATGGCAATCCATTATTAGTACATAAAAACGTAACGGTTTATTATACTTCAACTTTTCAAAACAACAGATCTTTGAAATGATGGATTTTCTCTCTTTATTACTGTCTAAACTCTCAGAGGCCCTATGAAATCCATTCCAGTAACTCAGTGGAGTCTCTTATCCAGTTGTTCAGCACAGTGAGTGTGCAGTACTGCCCTGCCTGGCCTAAAGGTCTTGTGGCTCTGATGAGGAAGGTAAGACTGAGGTCTCTATCCATCCATCTTCTGAAACCACTTGCCCCATTCAGGGTCACAGGGGGTCCAGAGTCTAAAGGCACAAGGCAGGGAACAACCAAGCATGGGGCACTAACCCATTGTAGGGAACATGCCATTCACACCTATGGGCAATCTGGTAAATCTAATTAACTTCAACATGTTTTTGGACTGGGGGGGGGGGGAGAGAAACCAGAGTACCTAGAGAAAACCCCACAATGACATGGGGAGAACATGCAAACTCCACAGATACAGAATCCTGGCAGAGACTCGAACCCAGGTCCAAGAGGTGTGAGACACAGTCCCTACCATGCCTTTCCAAAGACTGAGCTTCACATTATTTCTCTAGATTGTATAATATCGCTATGTTTCCCATATATGTTTTTTTAATTTTAATATTATGCAGTTTTATTCTAATAAAACACTATATATACACTTTAAGAAAACAGGGTACAGCCCTGGCACAGTTTTGTTCCCCAAGGTACAAAGAACATTAATGTACCCCAATGGTACGAATTGGTACTTTTTTCTGTGTGTCTCAATAATTTTGTCCATATGGTGTTGTGTGTGTGTGTGTGTGTATATATATATATATATATATATATATATATATATACATACACTGCATGTATTATACATTACTATAATATTGTATATTATTAAAATTATGCACTTGTTTGAGATTGTAAATCAGTTACCAGGTAGGACCCACTTTTTCCTCCAGAGCTGTTACAAAGGTAATTGAGCTGTGGGTAGCAGAGAAGCTTTTTGCACACCGTTGTTGTACTGAGCTGCTATTTTTGGCATTTTAGCTTTAATGAGTCCAGCCAGTCTCCCCTGACCTCTCTCATTAACAGGGTGTTTTCACCTAGAGAACTGCCGCTGACTCAGTGTTTTTTGTATTTTTCACTATCCTCTGTAAACTCTAAGCACTGTAAGTTTGTGAAATTCTCAGGATGGCGGCTGTTTCTCAGATACACGTGCGGCACCGACAATGACACCACACCGAAAATCACAAAAAAAGTGAAATATGGCAAGTCCTTTGGCAAAATATGTGTTTCATTTATTGGCAAACCTAAACACAATAAGGTGGACTTCATGTAATGTTTTCTGAAACATGTTAATTGGAGATTCCACTAGGAATCTAAGAATCTTTCCCCAAGGAAACAATCATATTTTAGTTAATGATTTTCATTTGTTTGTTCTGCTGACATTTAAAGGGCCATTTTTTTTTCACCAGTTAGCTTATGATTTACTCTACTGGTCAGTCCATAAAATATGATGTTAATTTCATTCCCAATTATATCTCCTTTATGTTTTTGTAATACATAAACTAGAAAAGATGAAGGAATAAACTAAGATTCAAGGAGAAAATGTAGGCAAATAAATGTAAACAAAAATGGTTTGTTATGTTTTATTATTAGGGGATGGGCTTTTCTAGAAGTGGAAAAGGTATTAATAAAACGCTGCTTGCACTCCACAGCTGCTGACTGTCAACCCCGAGCATCGTTACTCCTGCCTCTCCCACATGCAAGCATCACCTTACCTGCTAGATGTCAACTGGGACGCTGTTTATGAGAAGAAGGTGGAGCCAGGGTTTGTACCTAATGTAAGCATGACCAAAACAGCCACATTCTTACACAAACACATAAGCAGAATCACAGATGTTTAATTGTGATATTTTAATTGTAATATATATATTTGTATATAGAGCTTCATTACAAAGCTTCCGTAGATGATTTCTGTATGTCTTACTATTACAGAAAGGTCGTCTGCACTGCGATCCAACTTTTGAGCTAGAGGAAATGATTCTGGAATCCCGACCTCTTCACAAAAAGAAAAAGCGTCTCGCCAAGAACAGGTCTCGAGATAACAGTAAAGACTCCCAGTCTGTGAGTAGCATGAAAAAACTCATGAGATCTCTACCTCAACATGTATTGGACCAAAAGAAGAGGCTTAAATCTCTAATGTTGTTAGTTATTAGGAAAGAGGGTTGTCATAAAAACCACATGTACACAAGCCTTAAATACGACTAAATAATTGGAAATACATTTTCCTGCAGTTATTCTTGAGGGACAAGTAATTTAACATAAAGTATTGAATTGACCTTTCCATCAAATTCACCAATTTTGTTTTCTATTGTAGAATCTACAAATGGCTTTGAAGTAACAATGCACATATTTGTGCATGGTCTTATATGCTAAACATAGATGCAGAGTTCTGCAGCAGAAATGTAACAGCGATGCTAACAGTTATGCGGGCAGCACTGTTTCTTCACACCTCAAAGGTTTTGATTCCTGCCTCTGCAGTGGGTGTATGTGATTTGCATGTTCTCCCAGGTCTCCTTGGCATATACTGATTTCCTTCTACAGTCCATAGATGTGAAGTTAGGCTGATTGGTATCTCTGAGTTGCACATAGTGCATGAGTGCGTGCCTGTATGTGGTCTGCTATTGACTGCTATTCCAATGCCTTGGGTCCTAGGCTGCTTGGGTTTATTCCCCCCCCCACCACACAGACACACACACACACACACACACATGCACGCACGTCAGGTAAACATGTCCTTATGGGGACCGCTCATTCATTTCTATGGGAGAAATGCTAACGCTACCTATGACAACCTTAACCCCTACCAGTCTGAACCATAACCATAAGTAACCAAGCAAAATATAAGAGTTTTTGCATTTTTAGTTTTTTCATTGCAGTCAGATTTTTGTTAAATTGAGTTTTCCCTTATGGGGACCAAGAAACTGGTATCCATTACTTTATATTTTTTTAATGATTATGATTTTCATTCACTAATAATTGCATTCCTTTTATTAACAGTCTTGACATTTAAACATTTAATAGCCATAGTATATCTGTCTTCGGAATTGTTACTCTTGTAATGCTTTGGGATGTTTTGCAATAATTATACCTTCTCTGTACCTAGGAGAGTGACTATCTTCAAGAGTATCTCGAAGTAGTGCAGCAAGAGTTTAAGATCTTCAACAGAGAGAAGTAAGAAAATTCAGAGTATTTCATAACAGCAACATGCTGTTGTCTATAGACATCTACATGACTTCATTCTAATGGGATCCCCAGTGTTTTCATAGAAAAAAAAAAAGTAGGACACGATGCCCCATTTAGAATTCAGTAAACATGGCTCCCCTTTCCAACACATGTGATTTTTCCAGTGTTGTGCCAAGTAAGAATGAAGGAAAAGCTGGCTGGATTTATTCTTCATTCCACTGTAATAAAAGGCCTTGCTGCGATTTTGACAGTAAGGTGGTGACAGAATTTTTTTTTTTAGAAAATGAATGTGGTGGAGGGTAATCTACTTGTGATTAGTTACTGAAGTGCTGATACCATGGAATAGTTTCCAGGTAGCCAGCTAGTCATAGAGCTGTAGAATGTTAATGACTGAAGACTGCAGAGATGAAATATTTTTCATATCAGACTAATGACTCTAGGGCCCACTGGGGAAATCTCTGCAGAAACAGAGAAAAATGATTGGACATGTGTACTTAATATTGTTGTTTTGCTTTTACAAAATTTACGGAAAAAAACTGCTTTATGAATAATCTCTTTATAGAACCATCATTTACCATTTGAAGACGCAGTGCTTAATCAATCCAGAAATTCAATATCACAATGGTTGGGTTCAAGGTTGGGTCTTTGATTTTGATGATTCCTGGAATGGAAAAGGGACAGAACCTTCATGATCTGTCATCCTTTGTCATTCTTTATATCACAACTGGAGTAGAAATTTTTCTGATATGGTTTGATATGGCTTGGACTGGCTCAGCAATAGAATTCGGCAAATTTTATCGGGGGTGGTGTCCCCTGTTTCTGCAGATTTATAGTAACTACCCTAACTACAATATAACAGTGGTCATATGCATGGCCAATAAGAAATTAAGCAATGTTCATTATAGCTACGTATTACTTTATTGTGCTTGAGTTGTTTTCCTCTGGCAACCCAAACTCGATTTTCTGGCTACATCACTGATACATTCCATCTTAATTTCTTTACATGTGTTTCAGATTGAAAAAGAGCCAGGAGGAGAGCCTTTTGTCCAGAGGGGAAGGTGAGGTAGAAGCTACTGATAAGGCAGAGCAAGGCATGGAGGATGAGACAGAACCAGAGACATCAGCCCTAAACATGTGTCGCTCTATCTGTTCATCTTCTGGAAGTTGCTAGCACCACCTAGTGGAGATGTAATGCTTAAACTCAATCCTCTGATATGTTGCACTATACTGACAAAATGTATAGATACCTGTAGCTTCTAGTTTGTAGCTATGATGGGAGAGTCCTTCTAACACAGTTCATTTCTCCATTGCTGTAGCACCAACACGTATGACTTTAGGAAATTCCTACTGGTCCTGCTTTCTTTTCTGTAGAATAGGCTAAGATCTCTATGCAATATTAAGCATGAATAATGACTTAATCTTGGTGGAATGGCTATTAAACCCATCAAAGTATGAGCATGATAACACAGTATATGTATAAGAAGCTTTCTGGGTTTCAACATTAACATGTATTCTTTTCATTCTGCTACAATTTCCTTGGTAAATAGTATAAGTCTGTTTAATTATGGCAGCTAAATGCTGAAATATTTGTTGACATTTTACAATTTTATGATATTCTATCATTATACAGTACATTCAGTACTATTTGAATTTCTTTTGCAAAAACATGTAAGAAATATAGATTTAACTCATTGGACTTTCTGGTGTAACAAGGGCATATTCAAGTGATAATAGAATGTAAACTTAAGGAACCTCACCTGTCATTAAATATTGTTATATTAACTGTTATTAGAACTATTTAAATCTTAATTTCTAACAACAGCTGCAATTAATCACACAATCTGCTGCTAACGTTTAAATGAGAAAGTACCATTTGGCCCTCTATATTGAATAGGCACCTCGTGAAACTTGATAGAACACTAAAATATATGATTTCATTTTGCCATTTTAGTTCCATATAGATTAAATCTATAGCAATTTAGTAGTGTGTGAGAAAGAATACATGATGACTGTTTAACATACATACGTGTAAATATTATTAACAGTGTAACGCCTTCACCACAGTTATATGTGGAATTTACCAAAACTGTTATATAGTGTTTTCATACAGAGTTTTGTGTTTTTTTTCCAGGTGTATAGGCAAGAAAAAATGTGTTTCTTGTTTGTCACAAAAATGCTTTACACAATATCATATTTACATTTTGTAAACAACTTGTTTAATATGGATTTGATATGAATGTTTGACAAAAATGTCAAAATTCATAAATATCAATATAATACAGTTAGCTAAATCAAATAATCTGGAGGATTATTTGACTCAGTTGATCTTTTCGATAATATCCTGTTGAATTGTATGCATCAGTATTTGTAATGACTGAAAGCCTTTTGGTCCATCGGTGTCAACATTACGCAGTAATAATATTCAGTTGCTGTACTCTGGTTAAAAAACAATGATGTATACCATTAATTTAGCAGTGGCATCTTCCATATTTAAAATAGAACTCAATGTACAGTACATAATGAATAGTTTCACTACATACATGTATTTTAATATGAATATCTGAACAATGGCTTTGTAAAAATGGTCTGCAAAGGATATGTATGTATATTTAAATAAGGTTTGCAAGGTATAACATTAAGTATCGATGGGCATGTATTGAATTAAAGTCTTCAAAAACGGTTTTTGGCTTGCTATATATATACATATATATATAGCATCATCTTTGACATGAAATCATCTATTTAAATTACATTGTAGAAAGACAATTAACATCATTAAATATATTCATGCACTTCATATTTTTCATACTACTTTAAAAGCGGCATTTTCCAGTTACCTTTTCATTATGAATGCACTTGCAAGTTTTTTGTGTATTTAAACGTACTGGTAAGCTAAAAATAAACTTTCCTATTACATAATTTGTCGTTTCTTTATTTCCATCCATCCATCCATCCATCCATTTTCCAAGCATTTGCAACTTAACAAAGAGGACAGCCAATGCAGCAGCGGATTCTGAATGTGAGATATTTTAGACGTTATAAACAGTTGCTGAATACTGAAAGCACAAGGAAAAGGGGGAGTTGCAGGTTTGTGGTAATTGAAGCAGCTCCTGCTATTCAGCACAGGGCACAATTACACCCAGAATGCCAGTCGATCACAGAGCAGAAAAGACAGAGACACCAACCAGACCAGGGCTATTCAAATAACAGTTCTCAAGGGCTGAGCACTGCTGATTTTCCAGCCTTCCTTTACCTGTGAGCTATATGTGAAGCCTCTGTGGCCAATCAGAATCAGTCATCATTAAACTAACTATCTGGGAGGACTGAAATCAAGGCCTGGATTTGGAATCGAGGGCCAGATTTGAAGAGCCCTGAACTAAACTAACTTAATCTCTTTGTATTGTGGGGGGAAGAAGATGCAAACTCCATATGCAGTCACAGCGCTTTAATAAGCTTTAGATAAAGTACAATAGTATGTGTTTAGAGTCATGATCTTTAACTTGCTGTACCACAAATTATAAAGAGATTTTTTTTTAAAAAAGTGTGTGTTTTACTTAATATTATATATAGTAAAATGCATACATACATCTTTTCAGAGTTCCCTTAAAAAACGACTTACTTTCTCATAAATCGGAGGATGACATCAAGTGACCTTCAAGGGTGAATAGGACACATTAAGTGCAGGTGGGAAGTGCATTATTCACAGACACACACCCATAAATTGAGAAATGAGTGAGACAAAAAATTATGCTGTGATCTCTTAATTTTTTTCCAGAGCTCTATGTGTTACATAAACAATGGAAGTAATTACTAAATTGTACATCAGTTTTGCTTCAGTTACACTGATCTGAATTTGGTGCACAAAACAATGGCTTCTCATTGATGTTCTATTTTGTAAATACACTCCTGTGTTATTTACTTTATTCTCATAACCAATTAGTCTAAAACTCAAATATTGTACAATTTTTTTTTACACTAAATAAATATCTTAACTTTCAATTCTATATATAGTTCTAAATAATTTTTATTTTGATTAGGTCGATCATTATGCAGTGATATGCTATGAATGTAAGTGCTGTGAGTATGTAGAATAAGATGTTTCCTCTTTTACTGTGTGTTACAGGGTTTTGCGATCTATGTCTCAATATCTGCTGCATGTGTTAAAAAATGACGCTACACATTATTCTCATATAAAACACATTTTATGATATTTAAATACAAAAAATGAGAGACATGTTTGAACAAAGGCAGAACAAACTGGATCAAGCTAGAATTCTTCTGTTTAAAGGCAAATATAAGGTGGTTCGTTTTTGATCTTTTTAGCATAGCCCAATGTGGTCTTGGATAGCTAGAATACCAGTGTCACGTATCCATGCTTGGAATAGAATGCCACTTGGGAAGTTCAATCACATTAAGCAGAAAAGCCAGTTCTGTCTCTAGCTTCCACATGGCGTCTTCCACATGCTGCCAAACAAAGATATATAGATGATTATAGGAGCCTATTTGCCAGTAGTTTTTTATATTCAGTTTTAGTTGTTTTTTCATCACCTATTCAATGGGTGACATGACAATGCATGCATTTACCATACGTATGACTGAATTGCTCTGTTTTGGTATGTGGATTTCTTACCTTCTCCAAAGTGTCAAGTCTGTCACGCAGGGTAGTGTGACCGTGGCAAGCCTGGGATTGGACAGCCTTGCACAGTAGGTCGTGCTCTTGTCCTGCACAACCCCGAGTAGGACAGTGGTGATCAGTAACCTTCATCAGTCAGGTGAATATTCTCAAAATATGGGGCAATGTGTGGCTCTGCAGGTTAGGACTCCACGCTCATGAGGTCATTGGTTCAAATTCCATTGCCAGGTGAATGATGTCACTGTTTAGACCTTAACCCCAATTGCTCCGGGGATGCTGGCTGACCCTGCCATGTGACCAGTGCCAGTTAACCATCACGTGACACTGGGAGCCATCTAGGGCACCATCTTATGAGGGGTGCTGATAATGAAGCTGCCTCGGGCTCTGTATGGGCTTTGACCAGTACTGCCTGTGTACCCCAAACTCTCCGTTTTCTGTATATGGGTCTGTGTGGGTGGTATATTGTGTCCAGGTAGGTGGTATGCTTTTATACCGTATAATTACATATACCCTTGTCTCCTCTGACTGATATGCATTTCTGACAATTAGGTAGGTATATGGTAAACACATTTTTTTAGACGTATACCTGCATTCCCCTTGCCATATACTTTTGTTTACCCTCCATTACACCTCTGTGTGCCTCAGGGAGAGCAAGATAGGGTAGGTAAAGACCCCGCAGGGATGAACACAGTATCACTACTCTAGTGTACATAACTTGACAGTTACAGTTGTCTTCTTTTGTTATTTGTCATGCAAGGTCTTATCCTATAATTTTGAAGGGTTCCCCAGTCTTCCATTCAGATAAAAAAAAAACTAAGTACTTTGCTGTTGTACATAAGATAAGAATCAGAATGTTTGCTGTTGTACATAAACACAAGTACTTGTAACACCCAGCTCCATATAAAATACTCAAAAACTTTTACTGTAATCTCTAGTTCAAACTGTATGCAATGGTTTATGTGGGACTAATATTAAATGACAGGTTACCTTGATGACAATATTGATATTGTATATAGCTCTCTGAAACACTCCCATCATCAGGTTAATAGATATTGAGCATTTTATGTCAGTTGAAAACTGTAAATAGAAAATCTTGAGAAGCACAAACGATGGTAATCCTGCAATGTCTCGAAGACCATTCTCTAACAAACACGGATATACATAGAGATAAGACCTGCGGAGGCAGTTTGTTGAATTTGGCAGGGAAATCTGAATAGAGTGCTGGCCTGTCTTACTCCCACTCCACAGCTTGTACTGTACCATGTGTTTCTCATTATGCTGCACTGGAACGCAGTAAGGATGACTCAACCCAGCACCACCTTGGCTCAGTGTATACAGAACACCTATGACCTTCATAAACCCAATAATTTACCAAAACTGCTCAGGTTTATCCAGACAATATGCTCCTCTGACACACTAGGAATGTGTCCTAGTTTCTGTTGAATACTGTTTTGTTTACAGTTTTTCGAGTACACACTACAAAGTGGACAGTATAGACTAGGAGTACTATTAGTGAACAACCATTTTGTTAATACCCTACGTAGGACTGGCACTTCAGCCACCCGAAAAAACCTCAAACTGGTCCATTCGGACTAGTGTGGTGCTGAGGTATCACCTGCCACCTGGCTGCACTCAGGTTCTCACCCCTGAGGCGGTTTGTCATGGTGGGGACGGCAACGCACTGTAATCAGAGCGTGCACCTTACCTACACCAGTATCCTTCCGGAAACATAATATAGATTAACTAGCACACAAAACAGTGTCCAGGTGCCTCTTGATACATCTTGCAGCAGTGAATAAGCACAAAGCTCCCCAGTTGCCTTTGATGTATTCCATTTTATGTTATAAATTATGTTTTGTAAAATTCAAATAGTTATTTTGCATATAAATGAGAATTTCTGAAAGTGTTTATTGCAAAATAAAGTTTTTTATTTCCCTCATATTGTATTTAAGTGTATAATGCTTTTATTTTGATCTGATACACATCCATCCAGCCAACCAGAAGTGCTTATCCAGTACCGGGTCACAGTGAACCTACAGCCAATTAGAGATCCCAATTCATCTAACTGAAAATATAACTCCATGCACAAGACTTGAACCCTGAACTCTGACAGTGTGACACTACAGGGCTGACCATTGGGGCAAGCAATAAATAGGAGTATTCTTATTCTTGAGGTCAACAACATTAATCATGAAACACTGTTTTTAGGATGTAACCATGTACTCATTTACTTAAATTGAGTGAGAAGTTGTGGTCAGTTCTCCTTAAGAACAAGAATCTCACACAAAAATAACTGATTATTATTGACACACACTTGGGCTAGTGAGTGTTATATGCAAAGAAACAACAATAGAAAATTTAGATCAGAAGACGGGGCAGAGAATTAGCCAAGTCTTGATTGTTTAATAACTTTTTGCAGAATTTGAACATTCCTATGTGAGTGAAGTCACAAATATTGTTATTTAGAGTATGTAGCAAATTGACGAGAAAAGTAAAATCAGACAGTAAATCTGTAGTTAAAAGTACTGCACAATCATCCAAAAGGATGGATCGGATATATTTTGTTTACAGAGAGGAATTACATTTATCTGTTTTATGATGGAAGTTTCTTACATATTTTATAAAACAATTTGGACACACTGCCTGTTAGAGGTTAGAAACACTGTGACCAATTCGGCGGTTTACATATTTTTTCTTTGAACTGCTACTTGCAGGTAACACTTCAATATTCTCACAGATATCGAATTAGACAACATTTGCATTAAAATATAGAATTAAAAAAACGGTCAAATGACTGAACAAAAGCCTCACCCACATCCAAAATCCCTATCAGATATTTTCAATGGTACACAGACACATTTGCAGAGATCTTCAAGAGTTGCTGGATATTTCAGAACAAAATGTAGTAGAAACGAACAAAGGGATTTTTCAGTATTTTTCCAACGATCAGTTTTTCCATTTGGCTCACCCACTATTGTACCATGCAAGGAATCTAAGAGCTACTCATTTACACATCTTACCTACATTTACCTGGCCAATGAGGAGATGCAGGAGTTCAAACAAGGCCATCTTATAGGTGAAAGCTGGAATCTGACTCTAAGTGTGATGTTTTGGGAGAGTGGAATCTGTTGATGTTCTTCAAAGGAAATGATTTCAAAAAGTTTCAAAAGTAATAAGTCAAATCACAGTGATCAGGAGCACAACAGAGATGGAGACAGTAAGAGAAAACGAGTGAACGTTCTAGTGAGAGCGACACCACAGGAATTTTAACAGGCTGAGGCAG